CAAGATAACAATGATTGTCTTTGAGGGGATGATACATCAAAGATTGACACTAAGTAGAGAAATCTCGGAAGGGGATGGAAAAGTGCCATTTTCACAAATATTTAAAAATAGAAAGGAGATACAAAGAATTAAATAACTACCACAATTGCAATTGATTAAAATATGAATTTATTTCTTGCCATCTAACAATGAGTCCCCAAGACCAAACTATTTTCATTTAATCACCATAGAACCTTTTCTGCCTGCTGTCAGTAAGATCGAGGATAAATTCCAGGAGAGCAACATTTTACATCTTCTTGGGCTTACACTATCCACTGACATGAAGTAGAGCAACTATATTAAATCAATTGCTATGACTACTGCTAGGAAAGTTGGTTCATGGTGTCTGGTTAGAAAATCATCACAAGAATCTCTCTGGCACATTTATAAATCTACCATTCCTCTGTTCATTGGATATTGCTGCTAAATCTGGTCTGGTGCTCTTGCTGTATATATTAAGATTCTTGACAAAATTCAGAGAAAGGTCTGTAATGTTATCGATCCTGATCTGGCATCTCTACTTCAGTCATTTTCTCACAGCTATGATGTGGCTTCCCTCTGTCTTTTCTACAAATATTTTTATGGTGATTTTTCTGATGTGATTTTTTTTTCTTAGTGCCTCAAATCCTGCAACTGGATTGGCAACTTTTAATTTTGAGTGTAGTGGGTTGGTAGTTTCCTAGTTGACTGATAGTAAGGCAAGTGAACTCTTTGGTAGGGCTTAGAGAGGCTGCTCTGATCAACAATCGCATGATAGGGTATTTGTAGTGCCATGTTGCACATGAATAGGTGTCCCTGCATGTATTTCTGGTGGGCAACCCTGAGTCTACATTATGCTTTAGTCTTAGTCACTTTCTGGTCAGTTTGTATTGCCTTAGATGATAATCATTTTGGCCTTTTGTCCTTAAAACAAAATCTTATGACAGATATAATTGAAAAGAGGCTTCTTAATGGAAATTTTTATTCTTTGGTGATTGTGTTAAGGTTGGTTAATGGCCTGTTCAAGATTATGTGCATTCAGAGGGACCAATCACCTGCAAAATGTCAAATGTGGTGTGGTGGTGGGGGGGGACATTTGAATTTAGGTCTGTTACCTTGGTTATAATGTTTGCCAAGTAGTCTTAGACAAGGAAGTTCGTGATGCCATCTTGTGTGTGTGTGTGTGTGTGTGTGTGTGTAGGGTTTCAGCCTTTTTATTATATCCTTAATCTGTCCTGGACATTGAGTTCTACCTGGATTCTATCCTCTTGGAATTATTTTTTATACAAATATGTATGTATATATATATTTTAGATATATGATTGCATATGAATGTGTATATTTACCACTAATATTATCAAAAAATTATATATATATATAATGCACAACCTTCATTGATTGAAACAAGGAACTGCAATTAATATTTTCTTGGACACACACGCTGTCCAGACCAAGGTGGAAAAGAAATAAAATGGATCCTGTGAATTCTGGAAGATCAACAACTAAATCCTGAACAGAGGTAAAGTGGCTGTGCCCACAATTATAAATGTCCCCAAGGTCATATCTTCCTCAACAGATAAAGCAATCCTCTTTGCCTCTATCTCAACATTAGATGACAAAGACCATCCCCCTCCCCAACTTCCCAAGTCTCACTGAGAATAATCTCAGTAATATTACCATCACAGTATGAGAAGTTTCTAGAGTTATCAAAGGCCTCGACCTGAAGAAAGCCCAGATAAAATTTCAGTGATTGTCCTTAAGAATATCCATCTGGAATTATCCCCAATCCTAGCAAAATTATTCACTGTTTGAAGGAGAAATCCTTCCTAAGCCTGTGGAAAGTGTCTCCTCAGCAAGCTTTTTCAGGCCATAATCAATAAGTTCATCAAGCACCTAAACAAGAACTCTTCAGCGACCAGCAGTATGGGTTTCGATCAGCCCAATTCACTGCCAATGTCTTAACTACCATCACTCACAGAATCAATGAGGTTCTTGATGACAAACACACCTTGAGGACCATAGCACTAGATATCTCGAAGGCTTTTGACAAGGTGTGGCATAAAGGTTTACTACACAAGCTCTCTGGTTATGGAATCACTGGAAGGGTCTTCTCAATTGTAAAATCCTTCCTAGCAGGTAGCGCACTGAAGGTAGTAATTAATGGCCAGGCCTCCTGCGTCCTAGCAGTCAATACAGGCATCCCACAGGGGTCACTCCTTGGACTAATCCTCTTTTTGATCTACATAAATGATCTGCTTAAGAATATACTCAGATTGATTGTAATCATATATATGATGATATGACTATATATGGGTGCACCTCTAAAACTCTTGATGGCCAGAGATTGGCAACTGATCCCTCTTCCAAACTTGTACAAACAACTCAATGGGGTAAAAAAATGGTTGGTTGGTTGGTTGGTTGCATTCAATGCCTCAAAGACCAAGCTAGTTACATTCCATCATTGCTGATCTAACCCAGAACTATCATCAGTCAAGATGAACAGAGGTCCTTTTGAGAAAGCATCTTGCCATGAAAGACTGTTGGGTCTCAAACTCACTCAACTTCAAGTGGCACTTGTACATATGATCTGCTAACGATGCAGGTAAAATAGTTGGTGCCCTGTACTGCACCAGTAAGTACCTGGCTCCTCCTGCTATCCGCTACCTTTACAAGAGCTAGATTGGGCCGAAAATGGAATACTGTTATCATGTTTGGGCAGGAGCTGTAAAGACCTCACTCTCCAGCCTTGATAGTTTAAAAGTGTCTCTGAGCTCTTGTGGGTGATGAATCATTCTCCACCCTTCAATCCGTCTCCTATAGATAGAATGTGGCAAGCCTCTCGCTGCTCTATCACTACTTTCATGGAAAGTGCTCAGATGAACTACATTCCCTGGTCCGACCAAGGCAAACCTTCATGACAAGAACACGCTATCACACTTACATAGTAGCAAACCACCCACATTTCCTCCATATTCCATCGGTGAGAAGTTCCACTTGAGCAGCTTCTTCCTGTCAACCCCTACCCTGTGGAATTGACTCCCAACAGTATGTTTCCCTGATCACTACAATCTTCACCTATTCAAGGCTAGGGTTAATTGTTATCTCCCTCACCTATGCACACAAATGGCCTCATAACATAACCCTCTACCTCAAGTGGCCCCCAGGTCTTGTAAAGAGTAACCCTCACTGTGTGAAAAAAAAAAAAAAAAATCTATACATATATGCTTTTATTACTTAAACATTATTTTATTAAACAGTATATTTATTTAGTTTTGTTTACCAACCTGAATATTCAAAAAATGTTAGTAAAGGAAAATATGTGTTCTTTGGCAAGATTGAAATCTGTGTCCTCCTGGGTAGAAAGCATGCTGGATCTAATGACAGTTTCCCCTGCACAGGGGGATGCATGTTCAAATTATGTTAAAGAGCAAATATTTTTCTCTAATAAGATTTCTTGAATATTCAGGCCAGTAGACAAAACTAAATAAATATAATGTTTAATAAATAAACGGAGTGTCTACTCAAATATGGGTGGCCACTAAAAATAAAGTTTAATGAAATCTGTTAGATTAATAAATAAAAAATCCATCATGTCTTTAGAAATTCTATGCATGCTTACAAATCTATGTAATTTGTCTATGTGCATGTGAATTTAATCATACTGAATTTATTTAATACCAATATTTTGTAAAACGTTGTAAATAGCATTTCTCTTCATAGAAATTTGATCTACATGAGAACAATTGCATTTTCATTCTATAAAGGTAGCCTCTCCCATCAAAGAGAAAAATATTTCTATTCACTTGATATGTGGTTTGTGGTGGGGGTGGGGTAGATAAAAAGTTTGGAAATTTGAGAAATCCTATACAGAATTCCATTTAAGAAAAAGACAAAACAAAAAAAAAAAAAAAAAAAAACCTTCTCATTCCTCTATCTCCCCAAACTGTTCTCAATTGAAATTGCAGCTAACAGGAAGGATGGCAAAATCCCCAGAAAAGAATTTCATTGGAGAAGTGAAGTTTGACAAAATTAACTATTTTCTTAACGTAACTTTGACATCACTTTACACAATCCAAATGTCAGTACTTGGTTTGACCTTCCATATTTCACTTTTTAGTATTTACTCAGCTTAGTATAGTAGGATATTGTGGTAGAAAGATCATGCTACACTAAGTCCTAAGCTATAATTCAGTATGACACAAGTCTGAATAGTAGGAAATTTTGATGGGGGGTAGGTGGAAGATCATATTGCACAGATATCTCAAATATCAAATATCAGTGAGATTGCATTAATCTTCAAAAATCAGCAGTCAAAATCCAAGTTTTTGTTTATTAACAAGGCTTTTTCTCCATTTTGGTTTTGCGATAAATGTTGGTGGATATTCCTGCCCTAACCCTTTCTGCTGCATTATTTTTCAATGCCTCTCAATTGCAATAACCTTATTGTTAATTTCACTCAACACTTTTTTCTGTTGCCATAGCAGGATATGACAACACAACTATGAAATTCAAACAAATTCAAATTCTGGGATCAGTCACCTTCAGTGACAGGATAAACTTTTTCACAGCAAATGAAGTCACATACAGATGATAAAGATTAAAGAAGTGTTTAATATCCAGATCTTTTGATATTTTCTGTTTAGCCTTGTATGGCCAAAAGCTAAATGTGGAAGGAACACACAGAAGGGAACACAAAAGAAACTGAAGTTTAATGATTAGGTTTGTCTCTTTGGAGCAATGATTAATGAAATAGTTTTCAAAGCTATTACATCACTGAAATAAAAATGGACATGTTCAAAACAAGTTTTTACTACAGTAACACCATTATAGCTGTAGTTACAAGTATTGAGCATATAGTAAATTTTGTGTCAATTTGTTATTGTGTAATGATAGTTGCTAAATATTGCTTTGTCTACTATAGAGACAAGTGGGAGTAAATGAGGATGGAAAGATTGTGTAACTCCAATCTTTTAAATGGGAAGATACTGTCTGCTTTTAAAAATCAATATTTAACCACCTCACTTTTTTCTTTTCCTCTTCTTCTTCTTCTTCTTCTTTCCTCTTCTTCTTCTTCTTTCCTCTTCTTCTTCTTCTTCTTCTTTCCTCTTCTTCTTCTTCTTCTTCTTTCCTCTTCTTCTTCTTCTTCTTCTTTCCTCTTCTTCTTCTTTTCTCCCTCCTATTCTTCTTCTTTTCTCCTCCTATTCCTTCTTTTCTCCCTCCTATTCTTCTTCTTTTCTCCCTCCTCCTCCTCTTCTTCTTTTCTCCCTCCTCCTCCTCTTCTTCTTTTCTCCCTCCTCCTCCTCTTCTTCTTTTCTCCCTCCTCCTCTTCTTCTTCTTTTCTCCCTCTTTCCTCTTCTTCTTCTTTTTCTCCTTTTTTTTTCCTCCTCTTCTTCTTCTCCTCTTTTCTTCTCCTCTTCTTCTTTTCCTCTTCTTCTTTCTTTTCTCCTTTTCTTCTCCTTCTTCTTTTCTTTTCTCCTTCTTCTTTTTTTTTTCTCCTTCTTCTTCCTCCTTCTTCTTTTCTTTTCTCCCTTCTTTTTCTTCTTCTTTTCTCCCTTCTTCTTCTTCTTCTTTTCTCCCTTCTTCTTCTTCTTCTTCTTTTCTCCCTTCTTCTTCTTCTTTTCTCCCTTCTTCTTCTTCTTTTTTCTTCTTCTTTTCTCCCTTCTTCTTCTTCTTCTTCTTCTTTTCTCCCTTCTTCTTCTTCTTTTTTCTTCTTTTTCCATATATAGTGAACTTAGCAGAATAAGAAGGTAGGGAAATGAAGGTTGGTAGCAAAAATATTTTTTAACTCATATTTGTTTTCTATAGGCCATGTCCCTTCAAGATATGACCAATCATGGCTCTCCACAATTTCCTATCCTTTGTAGATCTAAGTAGTGTTTATTCCCTTGCTAGAAAGAAATTTGCACCAAAAGAATTCTATATAACAAGAATCTTAACTTTAAAAGTAAACTATTTTTGAACATATCTATCAATGTAGCCATCAGTTGTGTATGCATCAGTAGCACAAAATACAGAAGAAGAAATCAAAAATTTCTACTCTAGACAACACCAAGACTCCGTGTAAATCATGAGAAATTATAATTATTATGGAAGAACTGAATGACAAATTATGTAATGAAAGGGATAATGAAATAGTTGCCAAATTCAAACTAAGAAACCTGTAATGAACGTAGAGAAAACTGTGTCCAATGTTGTACATCAAATGACCAGGTAGTAACCAACACCTGGTTTCAAGAACACGCAAGATGAATATGGACATGGAGAAGCCCAGGAGGAGAAGTGAAAAACCAAAATCACATATATAACTATCAACAAGAGATTCAGAAATGCAAGTTATACACGGCAAAACTTATCCAAGTGCCGACTGTGGAAGCAATCACCTCCCAGTTATATGTAAACTTAGAAGTAAACTACAGAAATGGAAGAAGTCTAAGGCAGCACCCAAATTGTGATACATCAGACTTTTGAACAACTCCAATCTGAAGCAGTATATGGACAGTGTGAAAAGCAAACATGAGGGACAAAAGGAAAATGGAAACTCAAAGTGGGTCATACTAAGAGAAGCCTTAATGACATCCGCAAATGAGATCATCCCAAAGAAAAATAGCTAAAGAAGAAAAAAATGAATGGATGACTGCTGAAAACCTTGACCTGATGAAAAGTAGACAAAACACAATATCAAGGCATGGAATGGAATATAAAACACTGCACAAAGAAATAAGGAACGAATGGAGACAGTCTAAAGAGGAATGGGTCAATGAAAAATATGCAGAAATAGAAAGAATGAATATCACAGATAAAGCAGATATACAGTAAAAAAAGAGACAAAAGAAGTGCTTATGAACAGGATGCATAAAATCTAAGGATGGAATGATGTATCAGAGAAAGAAAAAATACTTTAGAGATAGAAGAGTTCATTCCAAGACGAAAGAGAACAAACCGGCAATATACAGAAATATATCGATGGACTGGAAATATTAAAAAGTAAAATGAAATCTGCACTGGGAAAATTGAAAAGAAACAAAGTGGCAGGGCCAGATAGAATTGTAATAGAGATGCTGGTAGCCTTAAATGATTTCGGTATAAACAAGATTGCAGAAATAATAAATGAAATTTACAACAGTGGCAATATACTATAAGACCTAACTAGATCTATTTTCATAACACTGCCTAAGAAACTAATTTCAAATGAATGTGAGCTAATGAGCCATATAACAAAACTCATCATCCGAATTCTGATGAATACTGTGTAGCAGAATCAGACTGGAGTTAGGACATGAACAATGCAGGCTTGTCAAACGCTCGACCAAGAAACATGATATTTATGCTCAGAATGTTATCAGAAAGAGCAATACAAATGCAGAAGGCATGTATCTGTGCTTTACAGATTGTGCAATGGTGTTTGTTAAAGTCTACCACTGTTGACTCGGCAACCTCAACATATTTGGAAAGGATATTAGAATAATCAAGAATATATACTGTTTGTAAACCACCTGCATACAGATAGAAAATGAGTTCAGCAGATATACAAAAATAGAAAGAAAGTGTGTTAGACAAGGATGTGTCTTCTCATTGAACTTATTCAACCTATAGAGTGATGTGGTTCTGAGAGAATTAGATGTCCTACTAGGATTTTGTTATTGGTGGCCACAATCTTAACAATATATGTAGATGACACTGTTGATAAGACAGAAAACTACAAAAGCTCCAGAAAGTAGTGAAGGAAAGTGAGAAGAAAGGACTAAATATTAACTGCATGAAGACATTCATGGTTGTTAGCAAAAGGATGAGCCCAAAATGCAAATTACAAATCAGATAGCAAAATCAAACAAGCAGAAAAATTTAATATCTGGAAATTGTTCTAACAGAGAACAGAAAATAAGACACTGAAATCTGAAGATACTTTGGGATAACCAAAGATGCATTCCAAAAGCTAAGCAGAGGATTAAGAGACAGAAAAAAAATCTTTCCTTATTTTTTGATTTTTTTTAAAAAAAAATTTTTTTTATTAAGCCCCTGCGATTCAAGTGCCTCTGTTCTACAAAAGGATGCTGAGGATACCATGGACTGAACCTGTGAGCAACAACGTTTTAGAGGAAATGGAAACAAAAAGGAAAAATATATTTAACATGAAGAAGGGCTTGGAAAATATGATACTAACAGGACAGATTGAGGGGAAAGAGACAGGAAAACAACATATAACGTACTTGACAAGCTTAAGTAAATGGATAGCAGAACAGAATTCAGGAGAAATAATGAAAAGATAAATTTTATCAAGTGCTACAAAGAACATGAAGTTGTTGAGAGCCATGATCGCTTATATCCTGAGAGGACATGACACATAAAGAAGAAACTTTATCTTTTATGTATTTATGTGCAGTTTGTGTCTTTTGTTGGTTTTGTGAGGTACAAGAAATTTTTTTTTTTTTTTTTTTTTTTTTAAATGTTGAAATGTAATTTTGAGAAATAGAAATTTTTTTTTTATTACCAAATGCCAAAAAGGTAATTAACAAAAGAGTTGTTTAAAATTGTAGAATGAAAGCTGTCATAGCTACATTGATATTTATTAAGCTTAGTACAACATAGTTTAAAAGCTGTGGCAGAGAGGTTTTAGAAATTACAATGAGGAAGACCAAATCCTTCAAATAGAGAGGACTGTAACAGGAGTGCTTAGAAGATTTATTCTCCCTATTTGTATTTCTCCAGTTATGGGTATTATTATATCTGTGATATAATGACACCATAGATCACAAATAGGACAGAACAGAATGGCTGAAAGGAAAAAAGAATGGAAAACATGTGTTATTCTCAGAAACCTTTATATTACTAAGATATACACAAAACTAATACATATTTACAAAGAATAATATATCACATATCTACACAGCAAAGCAGAGTGGGAGGAGAAACAAAAGAATGTGTCATCTATGAAAATGAGATATTCCTCTACCTGGAAAAACCATTGTTAGTGCTCCAGATTCAAATAGGCCAGGTTCATCTATGTCTCTGGCAAAGATGTATTCCACAAATGGTGGGGAAACAGCAAGTCTTAGGTTTTCCTAAATTGAGGACTGCAAACTGGAGTTTCATTCTATATCTTGGAAAGATATATTCCCAAAGGAAAACGGCACCATGAACTTGTAAGCTGCAAGGGAGGCAGATTTAGCCTATGCCTCGGCCAAAGAGCCCAGTTGAAAAGAAAGCAATGGCTGCTGAAAATGAACTGAAATTTGACTCTTGCTTTGGTTACTGTATTGAGTGACCTCACAAAGCAGCCATCATGTGATCCACATGACTTATCTCCATCAAAGTGAGATAAGTGCCTTCTGCATTATTACAGATGATTTTTGTTTAAAAATCAGCATATCACATCCTGGCTTTTAACTGGGTTCAATGTAGTGTTTTATACAGTTAAACAAAAGGATAAAGATTTGGTTTATCAAAATTGACCAGCACAAAAATCTGTCAACAAAAATTTGCTGGAGTCCTATTTAAAAAAAAAAAAAACAAGAAATTTAGTGGTCATTGATCCAAAGGCTAAGTTCTGCAGAACCAAACCCACAGACAAAAATTTAAAATCTTTATAATCCTTATAAGCAAAGAAATTCATACATCTTCTATTGCTGAGGGCAATAATTAAAAAAAAAAAAATTGCTGTCTGAATGACTCTTGGAATGATAATGACTTCAGTCTATATCTCTGAGATGAGGTATTATGATTATTTACATTAATCCTCATTGCCATATTCACAATGCTTTGCCCGTTGTATGCTCCGGCCATCTTCAGGTGATTTTAATTTTGAACCGAACCTTTACTTCATTCACTAGAGTAGATTGTTCTAGTTCCATGTGCCATGCCTCTTAGGGATGTCTCGGTTATTTAACTCATCTATTTGGTTCATCATTGGTGTAGTATGGTATTGAACTCATGACTCTTTGGGTCCAGTCACTGGATCTAACCAACATCTTTATCCACTGGGCCGTGTGTCCTTGAGGACATCTGTGTATGAATTTCTGGGACTTATAAACCTAATGTCTTGGCAACAGATTTTTTTAGAAGAAGGCTGGAGCGTACGATGACTGAAATGTTATGAATATAGCAATAAAGATGAGGATAACAATCCGAATAATGTAAATGATAATGACTTCTTTCAAAATTACAAAATGTATTTAATAAATGTTTTGTAACTTATTCTAAGCAACATTTGTTTCCTTACAATAACTCCGTCATGACCTGATGAATTTAAACATAGTACTAGATTGGCAGATAGGTCTCCTCATTTCACTGTTGAAATTGTTAGTTGTAATCATAGGTTCTATGCTAATAATTTCTTCTCTCCCACTTCTCACTTGTGGGAAACTTCTTCTGGCTTTCCTGTCAGCTACAACCTTCAAAAATTTAAATACATCATTTTTTTTTTCCATAAAAATAAATTAAATCCATGTACTTCTAACTGTAGATGAAAAGAAACAGGTGAAGAAAAAAAAATAAACCAATTAATATTTCATACTTTCAGTTTGCTCTCGGATCCTGTTAATTGACATTTTTAAAAAATTTTTATCATTTTATCTCAAACAAGGCAATAAAGCCAATAAGATGCAAGGGGTTAATGAGTGTGAGAAAATGAGAAAAAAAAACACTATGAAGGATATTATAAAAGCAACTCCTTCACATGTATTTGGGCCCGTCATAAATTTGGACTTACCATGTTAATCTTGACACATAAGATGAGTCATTAAAAGAATGCAGACTATGGATGATTTTTTTTCTTTTTCTTTTCTTTCTCTCTTTCTTTTTTTTTTTTTTTTTCTCTCTCTCTCTTCTCTCTCTCTTTAAGCCCACAACAAGCAAAGTGATAAAGCCACTATGGCATGTGGGAGTGAAAGAGAATGAGAAAGTTTTAAAAGAAACTAGAAATTTAATGCTAAACTGGAAAGAAGGGATAAATCTCTACTTCTATTTAAAAGACTGGAGAGGAGTGTGAACCGGACTATAGGCAAATCTATCTACCCCTATTAAAGGAAAAAAAAAAAAATTAGTAAATAAAACTTCAATTCACATGGAGATGTTAGAAGTATAGAGTTGAAGTAGATTTTATAAGGAACTGGAAACTCAATCCTAATCATGAAGTGAGAGATTAACCTCTACCATGTTCAAAAAAAATTGGTGAGGTATCTGAACTGAACAATAGACTGTTATAAATAAAATAATATTGATTATTTACATTATTCAGACTGTTATCCTCATATTCATAGTCACTGGATCTAACCAATGCCTTTATCCACTGGGATATGGGGGAATTGTTCTTCTCTGGATATTCAACTCCTCTGATGACAGAATTTTATCATTGGAGACTAGACCCAAAGAGTTGTGAGTTCAATACCAGGCTACAGCAGTGGCGAATCAAAATTTGGAGAGTTGAGTTAAAAGAAAATAAGACATTTGGAAGAGGCATGGCACATGGAACTAGAACAATCGACCCTGGTTGAAGAAATAAAGGGTTTGGTTTGAAATTTCAGTCAGCTGAAACATTGTGAGTATGGCAATGAAGATAACAGTTCAAATAATGTAAGCAATCATAATACCTCATCTCAGAAATATAGACAAATATTGATTGAGTAAACAATAAATTATTGTCAATAAAATTCTTTTTTCCATCAAGTATTTGATGAACACTTTATCCATAATATAAACATTAAACAGGTCCTTGTTAAACACCCCCTTTTCTTTTTTTTTTTTTTTTTTTTTTTTTTTTAAGCGCATTGATTTAAAAAGGCATTATATTCTCAAGCTCAGAAATGGGGGAATTGTTCTTCTCTGTATATTCAACTCCTCTGATGACAGAATTTTATTTTAATTTTTTTAATTTCTGAAATTGAAGATACTGAATGCCACATGTTTTATACTAAAATATTATGCTAAAGAAACTCTTAATTGCCTCTATAGATAACTGATATTTTAAATAGACCCTTTTCTTATTTCCATTAGCATGGCTGATGCTAACCTTCAAGAGAGTGACGTGTTGCTCCTTCTTAGTCTTTCCACGTCATGTCGGTGGAAAATGTTAGCCTATCTTGAATCAATTGCTATGCCTGCTGTTAGGACAATTTTTCTCTCTGGAATGTATCACATATTTTTAAGTCTACCATTTGTTCATACTTTTAATATTGTTGCCACATATGACCTGGTGCTCCTGCTATACATTTAGAGATTCTTAATAAAATCCTAAGAATCTGCAATGTTATTGGTCCTGACCTGTCCGCCATAATGTAGCTTCCCTGCGCCTTTTCTATAAATATCCTCATGGTAATTGTTCTGATGTGATTTCCCCTTTGGTGCTTAGACTTTATCAATTTAAGTGCAGTACTTTATTGTCGTCAAGATCTCATCATTTTACAGTTGAAATGACTAGATATAATGGTAAGTTCTATGCTAACAGTTTCTTCTATTGCACTTCTTGCTTGTGGAACTCTCTTCTTGTTTCTTGCTTCCCAGTCAACTTTGATCTTCAAAAAATTAAATGCAATGTCAGTTGTTATCTTGTCTTAATTCTTGTTCTTTTATCAATCTCTCTTCTTAATAGCTACTTTTTCCTCATATTCTGTAACACTCAGTAACCCCCTTGCTTCTTAGTGGCTTTATTACCTTGCTTGGGGTGAAATGATTTAAAAAAAATATTCATTATCTTAAAGATTAGACAGTTGGTATTAATGGATTATAGGTAGAAACCTCTAATTAGTACTTAATTAGTAACTTCTCTTTTAATACTGGCTTTTTTCTATTTTTTTTTTTTTATTTTGTTTGTACGTTTCTTAAAAAAAAACAAAAAAAAAATCTTGAATTTCTTTAAACATTTATTAGCTTTCTCATATCCAAGATTTTATTTTCTTCTTTGCTGATCACTTCCTTTATGATAATGGCATTGATAACTAATTTCACCATCAATTGTGTTTCAGGATTAGAAGCTTCCAGTTTCACTAAAACCTCTGCTCCTGTCACCCATTTCCTATTTCTGTTTGGCTTTGCAACAGTTGCTTGGGGGTGAAAGAAAAATCAGAGTGAAAGAAAGTGCTAATAATGTGAATTTTATTTTTTTTTAAAGGTGGGTCTTAACTTGCCAGGAAGTGACCCACACACTTCATTTCATGACCTTCCCCTGCGGCTCATGTAGAATGAGACCTGTAGAATCCAGTTATGAAACTGCACGCAACAGGCTCCTGCTGACTCTGTTATAATTTTGAGTGGTGCCTTCTGTAGCATGCAAAGCTCACTTCACCCACTGGCTGAACTGTTGAGATTTCTTGTAATCATCATCCATCATTGGTCTTGGGGGTTGGTTGCGCTTCATCCGGGTCCTCATCTTTGTCCTTGCTGCCAACGGTTGCCCTACCAGGAGTTCAGAACCCACAACTGCATCATTTTCCGTCATTGGACTAGGTGGGCATTAAATAGTAATATCTAAATATATGTATATTAATGTACCTATACCATAAAAATTACAGTAACTATTATAAAATTTTAATAGTGAAAGATGCAATGAAATAAATCTTGAAACAATGTATTGAGATTCAATAAAGCGAAGATAATGAATTCATAACTAAAATAGAGGCTAATGAGTCATTTAATTAATCCATTCTCTTTATATTTTTTTAAATGTTCAATGGTGTCTAATGATTTATTGATTACTCCTGGTATTATATAAATCGCTTTTTGCTCAATATCTTTTCATGTTAAAAATATTGTTTAATATAACGGTGAAATGGAAATATCTCTTGGAAGAAAAAGATTAGCAATGGAACAACAAAGACAGCAACGACAAAGCCTCTTTAAAGACCAAGTTGAAGCAAGATGATCATTTAACAGACAAAAGCATCTGAGCATTTTACATGACAGGCTTGAGCAAATAAAACTACAATCTAAGAAATGTGAGAGTAAAGGAACTGATTAATTAAAATGTTCATTTTGCTCTGGAAGTAATTTTGTCTAAATGAATATGATTTTTTTTTTTATTTGTACCGATTATTAAAAGGATTAAGGGAAGTAATCCCTCATGAATTTACTAACTCGAGTTGATTTACTTTTCTTTCCACTATTGATGGGACAGGAAATATGTAAATACACATTGATAATTATTATAGTGTTTGATATTAAAATTTAATTTATAATTGTTTTCATTGATAAGGGGAAATTATCTTTAGGTAGTTTTGTGATCCCCATCCTTTTATAGGGCAGTGAATGTTCCTGTGGATGAGGAAAGAACTAGAAGCAGCAGAAATGTAGTTCTCCAGAGAGATACTGAAAATTCCATAAGCAGAGCAAGTAAGCAACAAGAAAGTCATAAGAAAATGGCAACAGGAAGCATACATCTATTCAAAATCAGGAAAAGATAGCAGAAATTCTTTGGATGCATAATGAGGAAGGAGTGCTTGGAAAACTCAGTTCTAATTTCAGGTTTTATAATAGTTCGCGATGTTGGCACAGCCTATTTTATGGTCAATTTCCTTTTTTCCTATGCTAGTTTTTAATAAATCCCTCTCAATAAAAAAAAAAAAAAATTAGTCTATTTTGCGTCATATGTGAAATAGAAGTAAAAGTGTGTTTTTGTTGAATGCAATTTTAATTTAAAGTATTTCCTACAAGAATAAATAAGTTTTTTTTGTTTTTTGTTTTTTTTTTTTTTTGCTGCACTCAGAATTTTACGTTGGTTGTACCAATTCAAAGAAATAATGAAATGTTATCTGGATTATGACCTAGTGCTGACTAAACACTAAATTGATTTTACAAATCCAAATTTTCTGCCCAAATTATGTTCATTTGGTGTGATGGCTGAAATAGTTACATTTTTATATAGATACCAGTTATAGATAGTTTTAGTATTGGAATATTTTATTTTTTAATAACAAAAATCCTGTTTTCTATGAATTTCCATGTTTTCCATTTTCTACTTTATTTTAGGAGGCACGGTGGAGTAATGGATAGCGGCTCAGATTGAGGAATCTGAGAGCCGAGTTCGAATTCTAGTCAAATCCATTACATTCATTTATGTGTTAATACCCTTGGGAAAGGTATGAATCCTCTTTTTCTCACTCCAGCTATGGGTAATTAGCAGGATGGACCGGGTTCTATAGCTTTGGATGGCAACTGGTCTACTGCAGAAAGAAATGGCAACCTACTGTGGGAAAAAAATCTGCCTTGTCAGTCATGTATCGAAAGATACATGATCACCTAAGCGTGTATCATGCATGGCACATAACTGATTGACATGAGGTATATTAAGGGGAAGGCAGCGAGACCCTTATCTGATGAGCTAGTTTGAATGGATGGTGGAATGCTGGTGGTGAGTGTGGGGGCAGGAGCATTTAGCAAAGGGAGAAATACCACTAAGAGCCACATGAGATTGGTGATCATGGCTCTTCACAACTTATGTCCAGAAGAGACGTGACATATAGAAAACCGATGATTTGCTTTCTGGTTACAATAAAAACATTACAACAGTTCTCAGTAAATCCAACATTTATTCCATTCTTATTTTGTATTTACCACTAATTTTTTTTTTTTTTTTCCTTTCTCCTTCAAGGTACGTACTTGGCATCTAGAAAGAATGGTATCTGTGATTCTAAAGTGGAGACTGCTTTGACAGTTTATGTGATTCTAGATTGGATCTACTTTGTCATCATTGTGATAGTTATTGTTGTCTTCTTTGGACTTTCCCAGAAACTTAATCTTGACAAGGAATCTTATGTGAAAGTTTGGGAAGACAGGTAAATGTTTTAGCTTGTTTTTAAATTTTTAAATTTTATTTTTAATCTAATTTTAAATTATTGAACAAATTCAATTATCACTCCAAAAAAATGTTTTAACAGATGCTAAAAACAAATATTTTTTTTATCAAGATTTTCTAAAAAAAAAAAAAAAAAATATTATAAAATAATATAATCTCTATCTATAAAAGGCAGGACGTCTGTGTGTGTGTGTAACGAATTCACGGCCACAATTTTCGACAGATTTGCACCAAAATTTACATGCACATGCTCCAAGTTAGCAGGAAGGTCAAGACTGACTTTGCATTTCCCAACTTCCATCGATAGTGGAAATAATTGATTTTTTTTCATGCTTCTACAGCAGTTTCATGTAGTTTGTGGCCATTTTCTACTGGCCAGAGTGAGAGCCTATAGCTGGCTGCCACGAATAGGCAGGAAGATTCTATTGGCCAGCGTGAGAGCCAACAGCTGACTGACATGATTGTTAACTAGCATGCTAGCATGCAAAAAAAATCGATAGCTGCATTCGTCACAATAGGGAAAAATTTAAATCTGCATGGCACTTTACTCCAATTGGCTCATTTGCTTACTTAAACTCAACGTTGATTCTGATTCCGCAGAACTGGGTTGGGTGTGAAAAAGTATTTGTTGTTAACATTCTTTTTTCATTTGGTTTTTCCAGTTCTGAGTCCTTTTTTAAAGCTGATCGTTTTGTGTTCATTTTGTTTAGTTCTTTTTTTGTAACAGATTTAATGTTTAGTATAGAGCTTAGAAAAAATTTGCAGTGTGAGATAGGCAAGAAGTAAGGCATGTATCAACATCAGCATGGCAAAGGGCACTCATTTAGAGGCAAGGAAGGGCAAAAATATTTTAAGTCAAGTGATAGCGATTGCTGTATGAGTCGTACGATTTTTGAATCAAGCACGGGCAATGCTGGGCCATGCTGCTAGTTTATTTATGAATAAGTCCTGAAAGTTTCATCCAACAAGAATTTGTAAGAATTTACAAATCAATGTGTTCTTCACTGCAAGAAAGATGCTAAAATTTCTTATTAATCATTGCCCCCACACCTGCTGATGAAAGAAAAACAGGATTTTTTAACTAAAATTCTGAACATTCTAAAAAGTTAAAAAAAAAAAATATAAGTAAATAATAAAAAAATCCTTTGGTGTTCCCTCTTAATAAGGATTTTGATAATTAAAACTTTTTAAGTTTAGGGCATTTTTTTTTTTTTTTGTCATGGTATGCTAATTTCTTCGTGAATCACTGGAGGTATCTTTCATACTGATGAGCTATGAAACAGTCTGTCTGTGGATGATATATATATATATATATATATATATATATATAAAAGAGAGAGACTGTCACTGCTTGATATTGACCTCAGTGTTCACTTTCATATTCTTGTATATTCAATTTCTGATATTGATTACTTTTACCCATAAATATAGCATACCTTAAAACTATAAAGTGTTTTTTTTTTTTTTTTTTTTTTTTTTTAAAATACTTGTTCAGAAAAGAAAAACACAAGGATTGAACTCACAATTACTGTGTCAGCAAATTCATGAACTTATATTTTAACCCACTTAACTCATCTGGAGTATCTCTGCCTAACTTCCTACTTAGAACTGATTCTCTGTTGAGTGATACACATATAACACCTTCCATAGTTTGTGCTATCATCTATAACCTTGGTCCCCACAAAGCATGTAAATCTGATGGCATCCCTGTAATAGTCATTAAGAAGCATGCTCCTGGACTGGCTCCTGTTCTCTCTAAACTGTATAATAAATGCTTTGCTGCCTCCTGCTTTCCTGTTTGTTGTAAATCATCATCTGTTGTTCAGTTTTTAAGAACTCTAATGAACTGTCTGACCCATCCATCTGTTGGTCTATTAGCCTTCTGCTTCTGTTTGGGGAAACTTCTAGAAGCCATAATCAATGCTGAATTGGTTTGTCATTTCTCATCACAGTGCCTTTTCTTAGACAAGCAATATGGCTTTCATTTCTTCAGATCAACTGCTAATGTACTAACAATAATTGCAGAAAGAGTCTATTGTGCTTTAGATAAACTGTGAAGCCTGGGCCATAGCATTGGATATTTTGAAGCCCTTTGACATGGTCTGGCATTCAGGTTTTCTCCACAATCTGAAAAGCTACAGTATCTCCAGGAATGTTCTTGAGTTGATCCAGTTGTTTCTATCAAATTGTGAAATGAAAGTTGTCCTGAATGGCCATTCATCTAAATCCTTTCGTACTAATATGGATGTCCAACAGGGCTCTATCCTTGGTCCTACACTGTTTTTAATCTTTATTAATGACCTACCTGATGACATCAACTCTCATCTATGCTGACGACACTACTATTTACTCCTGCCTCGATAGTAAGGCTGATCAGTCTGACAAAGTCAGAATGACAGCTCATGTACAAATTGGCCACAAGACTGTTGTTAACTGGAAAAAAAGATGGTGTGTCAATTTTAATGCCTCCAAAAATTAAATATGGCTAATGCTATTCTCCAAGAATGTAACTCATTGTGCCTTCTTGGGCTAACATTCTCAGCTGACACGAAGTGGAAAGACTACATTGAATCCATCGCCAGATCAACTGCTAAAGTTCACTGTGTCAAGCGAGACAGTATGTATCTCTGGAATCAATCTTGCATATCTATAAGTCTACTAGTCATACTTGCTTAGAATATTGCTGTCATATATGGTCTGGTGACCCTTGAGTTCCTTGATAAGATCCAAAGAATAATCAGCAATTGCCCACTGCCATAAGGTTGCCACTCTGTGCCTTTTTATTATAAACATTTTCATGAAAATTGTTTGGATGAGCTTTATGCTATAGTACTTAAGACTGTACAAATTTAAGCACCATACTAGACTGGCATTGAGATATCATCAAATTACAATTGAGCAAGCTAGATGTAGCTGTAATTTCTGTGCTAACAGTTTCTTATCCCACACTTTTAGCCTGTGGAATTCCCTCCTGGCTCCATGCTTTCCAGCCAACTTTAATCTGCAAAAGTTCAAATGCAATGTCAATCGCTACCTACTGTCCTCCTGATTGCTCTTTTCTCTCTTTATTCATTACTAATGTTTCTGTTCTTAATTCCTCCACACCCTGTAACCCCTTGCATGCTTGTGGCTGTACTACTTTGTATGGGGTGATACCAATTTAAAAAAAAATAAAAGTGCTTAATTGTAGCACCTTATCATTCATCTTTAATAAAACTTATGTGAAATCTAATGCTGGTGTCAAGTGTCATCTTTGGGGCCATGGATGCCAGAATGACATGCAAGACATTACAAATGATGTGATGAGGTGGATCTTATCTAAGTGTGGCAATCACTAATATATATATATATATATATATATATAATAAGAAAGAACGGTAACATTTCTAATCCAGTGTTTATAGCAATTATTTTTATTTAAAAAAAACAAAAAAAACAGTGCTCAATACAAGCAATAGTGCAAAATATTATAATTATTTCCTTTTAAAAATATGATTGTCATGACACAGAAAATTTCCATGTTTCAAAACTAGAACTAAATAACGTACTAAAAAATATTGATATTATGAGTTATGGAAAATTTATTTTAATATATAAAAATTTGTAAAAATAATGCATAGTCTATTAGTTATTAGAAGGTCAAATGTTACTTTAAATCTGTTAGAATAAAAATTAATTAATTAATAAAATTTAAATATTAAAAATGTCTTACAAATATTTAAATAACCCTTTTAGAAAATCTTTCTTTATAAAAATAGGAATTAGGCTGATGAATAAAAATGCCAAAATTGTTTTTGTCATTGAAAACCCAGCCAGCTCACTGAATAATGGAAGTATACATTTGTTAGCAGGCACCCCCACCCCACATAAACTTAATCTGACTTTATAAGCAACATATATTGGACACATAAGCTGTCTAGGGAAATTAAAATCCAACCATTCCTAAATTAAAATAGATTTTCCTTAACCTAAACAAATCATAATATCAATATTTCTTAGAAAGTTATTCCTAACATTGCTTAACAATGGAACGAGACTATGGATTTTAAATTTATATTTTATAATTTATAAATTTAGTTTTGGTTTTGAAACATGGAAATTTTCTGTGTTGCGATGAAATCATTTTTAAAAAGAAATATATATATGCACTTAAAAATGCGTGAATGTATGTATGTATATTTCTGTTGGCAGCTAAACAAGCTACTCAAAGTTCTTGCCAGTGAGACAATTGTTAGCAACTCAGTAAGTTGGAAACTAAGAGCTGAAGAACTCACAATGAGTCAATGACCAGCTAACTAGAGGTGGTGTCTCAAATGACTGTGCAATAGGCTATGGGGAAACCAGTCCACTATCAATCCCAAGAAATATGCTTACTTCCACTAAAAGAAGAGAAAGAATAATTTTAAACTTAACTGATGAAAGATTACCTCTCTACCTCCTTTCATATCATTAGGAGTATCAAATATCAAATTAGCCTCATAAAATATTTATCGAAATATTACTTCTTGCTGAGACCTGCAACAGGAAATACATTGATGATAATGTTATGGTTCCCTGTAAGAGTTTCATGATATTTGCTAAGCTTAGTCAAGTGTGGTCCAAGGCCAACCAAGCGTGGGGGGGGAATATAGGCTGGAAAGTTAGAGTAATCTTTCAACATGTGCTTTTGTGCCTCAGAGATAAGCATTACAGATCCTGTTTGGAACAGGTTTCAAGCAGGAGTAATAAATAAATAACCATTTCAGGAAGTGGGCCACAGCATCATTTTATGATTAGAGAAATAAATTTGGTTGTAGATTGTTAAAAACAAATGCTTTCGTTTTAAATATATTCACCTTTATTTTGAGCTAATGCTTTTGAGAAAGAAGTTTTAGTTTTAAAAAGGGGGGGAAAAAAAGTAATAAAAAAAAAAAAAAGTTTCTCCTTTCCCCTGAAAGGAAAGAAAGATTTTTAAGACTAGTCAGAGATGATAGAACAAAATGGTGTACATTTTATTCAATAAAGTTAATTATTTATTTTTTTATTAATCACTTCACCCCAAACAAGGTAACAATGCCACCAAGACACAAGGGGCTACTGAGAGTGAAAGAGAATGAAAAGATTTTAGAAGAAACTGGAAACCTAATTCTAAACAGGAAACAAGGGATAAACCTCTACTCCTGTTCAAAAGACTGGTGAGGAGTATGAACCAAATGATAGGCAAACCTATCTACTCCTGTTGATAGAAAAAAAACATAATATAATTAATAAATTAAATTTCAGAGATGTTAGGAGTATAGAGTTGAAGTAGATTTTAGAAGGAACTGGAAACATGATCCTAAACAGGAAACAAGGGATAAACCTCTACTCCTGTTCAAAATACCAAAGAGGAGAGTGAACTGGCCAATACATTATCTCTGGGAGTGCCTCAGTGTGGAGTAATGGTTAGTGAGGCAAATCTGGTTGACTATTATCAGGTTATACAGGTTGCCCACTTACAAAATTCAATATTTTAAATAACTTAAAGGTTCATGTGTCATAAAACTTAACAATTAACTGTGGGTAAGACATTTCTGTCACAGTTAATGGATTCTTATTCTTCTATGTACGGTGTCCTCTCAAGATGTTGGCAATCATTGCTTTCCACAATTTCCTGTCCTTTGTAGCTCTTAATAAATTTTGTCTTTCTGCTATTTCTCCTAAACTCTGATCTGCATTCACTGAAGCTCACCATGTACATTATACGTTGCTTTCCTCGGTTCTTCTTGCCTTCAATATGTCCTGTGAGTGTCAAGTTTTCTAAGCTCTCTTTCTTCATATGCCCCAGAAACTTCAACTCTTTCTGAGTCTAATGTCCTTTTTGATTCCATTTCCTCTAAAACTTTGTCACTGTTCACATCTTTGGGCCATGGTATTTGCAGCATCCTTCTGTAGAACCACAGATCTGTTGTTTCAGGTCTCTTCTGTGAGGATATTGTCTAGCATTGACTGCCATATAGGAGGACTGATATTACATTGACAAAAGTTTTCTTTTTACTCAATAAACTGAATGGGTTGACAGAACTAATTTCAACTTGGAATCTCCATGCTCAGTTTCTAATAAAAATTTCCTGAATAGTTCCATTTAGTTGTAAATGTACATGTGTAATTTGAAAATAACAAAGAAACTTGGAGTTATTGACAAGTTCAGACTCCTTCATGTTGTGGTGGGGGTAGTTGAAAATAATACTGTACCTCAACTGAATATTTGGGTCAGTCATTACATGCATGAGATGTCTTTTCGATGAAAATTTCTCAGACTGAACAAATAGTGTTGCAAAAGGATACAAGGTGTGACAAAAATACCTCCCACGTAATAAGACAATAGCTAGATGAAGATACCATTGCCACTAGTGTCTTAACCTTTATGTGGGAGGTATTTCTGCTGAACATTGAATTTAAATATTTGAATAGTTTTTTCTCTTTTATTGTTGTTTTTTATTTATTTCATTCTGTTTCCTATCCTATCCATTTTGTTTCCTATCCGTTTTGTTTCCTATCCGTTTTGTTTCCTATCCGTTTTGTTTCCTATCCTATCTGTTTTGTTTCCTATCTGTTTTGTTTCCGTCTTGTTTTGTTTCCGTCTTGTTTTGTTTCCGTCTTGTTTTGTTTCCGTCTTGTTTTGTTTCCGTCTTGTTTTGTTTCCGTCTTGTTTTGTTTCCGTCTTGTTTTGTTTCCGTCTTGTTTTGTTTCCTATCTGTTTTGTTTCCGTTTTGTTTTGTTTCCTATCCGTTTTGTTTCTGTTTTGTTTCCTATCTGTTTTATTTCCTATCCTATCCGTTTTGTTTCCTATCCGTTTTGTTTCCTATCCTATCCTATCTGTTTTGTTTCCTATCCTATCTGTTTTGTTTCCTATCCTATCTGTTTTGTTTCCTATCCTATCTGTTTTGTTTCCTATCCTATCTGTTTTGTTTCCTATCCTATCTGTTTTGTTTCTGTTTTGTTTTGTTTCCTATCTGTTTTGTTTCCGTCTTGTTTTGTTTCCTATCTGTTTTGTTTCCGTTTTGTTTCTGTTTTGTTTCCTATCCGTTTTGTTTCTGTTTTGTTTCCTATCCGTTTTGTTTCTGTTTTGTTTCCTATCCGTTTTGTTTCTGTTTTGTTTCCTATCCGTTTTATTTCCTATCCTATCTGTTTTGTTTCCTATCCTATCCGTTTTGTTTCCTATCCTATCCGTTTTGTTTCCTATCCTATCCGTTTTGTTTCCTATCCTATCCGTTTTGTTTCCTATCCTATCCGTTTTGTTTCCTATCCTATCCGTTTTGTTTCCTATCCTATCCGTTTTGTTTCCTATCCTATCTGTTTTGTTTCTGTTTTGTTTTGTTTCCTATCTGTTTTGTTTCCTATCTGTTTTGTTTCCATCTTGTTTTGTTTCCGTTTTGTTTTGTTTCCTATCTGTTTTGTTTCCGTTTTGTTTTGTTTCCTATCTGTTTTGTTTCCTATCTGTTTTCGGTTTTGTTTGTTTTCATGAAATGGTGGTATGGTTAAAATCTTGCAAATGTTGAACATTTGCTATAAAAATTCAGTTTGTCATATTGATTTTTAATTTACTGTTTCTCTGATAATATTCTATAGATCAGTTTTGCTGTATATAATGTATCATTTATTTGCACTTTTTTTTGCAGATGCAACTGTTTATTTTGCTGTAAATCTAAAAATAAAAATAATAGGAATGCACTTCAAGAAGTTGCTAAAATTGTTGCACCATTCTTTGAGGTAAAACTCTTTGGTATTAAAATTTTATTAATTCTAATTGTTAACATTGTGGAATGAAATCTCATGAGAAATTTCATTGTTTTCTGTGTTCTTAATCTGGCAGTGAAAAACAAAGGTTGTCCTGGATGACTTCATACAAAAGATATCCTCATTCTAAATAGTCAAAAACACTTAATCTTGATTTATTGTTTTTTTTTGCTTGTTTTATGGCTTATCAACCTTGTGTAGTTATTTAAAGTGCCACAAAATATTTTTTTAAATAGTAAAAATTTTTTGGAGATGGCTTTACTAATACAAGTCATACTAATTAACCGATAGCTGGGGGTAGGGGGTGGATTCATACGCTTTCCCAATGGTCAAACCACTGGAATTGGAACTCTGGTCTCTGGTTTCCAATTTCAACCCATTATCCATTACACCACCTGCACATCCAAGCTTACAGCACCTGACATTTCCAAATGGTGACCCATCTTGAAAAAATGAGGTTGTCAGCTATGTGTCTTTGCTATATTATCTATATGTCTTTGGGAAAATAGTATTATCAGCTATATGTCTTTGGGAAAATAGTATTATCAGTTATGTGTTTTCGAAGGAATAATGTTGCCAGCAGCGGGTTTTTGAAAAATGATATTACTGGCTATACGTTTTTAGAAAAATATTATTACCAGCTATATGCTTTTGGAAAATATTACCAGCTATACGTTTTTGGAAAAATAATATTACATGCTATACGTTTTTTTAACAAAACCTTATTCAATGGAACTGTAACTGGGGTCAAAACAATGTGAAAGTGTAAAAATGGGTTTTAATACCAGAAACTCTTTGTAAAAAATTATTACCATCAATACATTTTTGAAAACCAAATGTTGCCATCAATGAGTTTTTGAAAGGAAAAACCTGAACAAACCTTAAAACACAAAGTAATTCAATGAACCAAACAGGAAAAGTTTTTTTGTTATGGTTTAGGAAAAAAAACAAAAAAAAAAACAAAAAAAATGCTGGGGCATTGTTTTCAAGTTGCTTATACCAAAAGAATTCAGCATTAAAGAAAAATGGTTTTTACATTAACGTCATAGCCTCAACAAAGTTCTCAAAGATGATAATTGATTATATCAACTGAAAAAGTTGTGACTAAAAAGCCAAACAAAAAGACGGCATTATTTTCAGCTAACTTAGGACAAAAGAATTTTTGATTATAATATTAACTTTAACATGTTGATTATCAGCTTACAGCTGCATCATGTTGAAATTCTGGTTCTGATGTAATCATCATGCGCAGTATTTAGATGGGTGGCCGTTTGGGAATACCAAGTGTTGTAAGCTTGGATGTGTGGGTGGTGTAATGGATAATGTCTTGGAATTGTTAATTGAAGAGGCAAGTTCCAATTCTTGTTGAGTCTGTTATATTCACTTGTATGAATCCACCTCTTCTCCTCCAGCTATGGGTTAAATAGGATCTGTATCACTAAATCATTCTCCTTACAATCTAAAAATATTTTCTGGCTTTAAATAACTTGGAAAGAGGTTTTAAGCTGTAGAAAACAAATCAATCAATTTATAAACCCTAGAGATAGTTGTGTATGAAAATCTTAGACCAGTGATTTTCAAAATACATCCACCTGGCAATAAAAAAAACATTCTGTGTTCAAAGTAACATATATCACCTTTCTTTCCCATACTAATGCCTGAAATGAAATTCAGCAAAATGACATGTTTAAATGCCTATATCTTTTAAAATGCTACTATGTCATTGGCTGATTACAAATTTGCATAAAAAAGCATTTGTTCACATGGACAAATGGTGAATTTTGATGAATTTTCTATCTCCACTCACTGACCACTTAGTAACCAGTGAGTAAAGATTGAAAATTATATGGTAGAAATAAATATACAGCTACAGATTTATTGATCCTATTGATGTGAGTCTGTATCAGTTTGGTTCATAGACTTGCATAATTAATGCCAAATTTAAAATTCCATCTGTACTGGGTATGATCTGCATCCTGGGTAAGACGATAAACGATGTCCAACACCAAGACTTCTGATCAGGAGGTTTTGAGGAGTGCAGAACCACCTCTTAATTGCTGGTGTTCCTAGGTCCACCCTGGCCTGGGGTGGTAGCACCTGTTAGGGTCCTAGCTATGGGCAAATAGTTAACCCTCAAACTGGGGTCAAAACACTATGAAAGTGCAAAAATGTTTTAATACCAGAAATACTTTGTAAAACAAATTATTACCAGTGATACATTATTTTCAGCAATACATTTTTGAAGAAAATATTACCAGCGATAAAATTTTTTAAGATAAAATATTACAAGCAATACATTTTAAAAAAAAAATATTACCAGTAATAAAAATTGTCGGCATTAAATAAACCATTGAGGTTGATATGCCATAAAACAAACGCAACCAAACGAAAATTCCATCTTGGATTTTTTGTGGAAACTCTGCAGTTGGTCCCTAGTATTTTGGAAAGATTTGGAGCAAATTAGAATTTAATACTTGTCAGAAATATCTTGGGAAATAAATGACTGTTTAGTAAAATATCTTTGATTTTTTTTTTTTTTTTTTTTTACAGAATTCTGATCTGGTTCCAACAGATATTGCTGCAGGTTTGATGCTGGTCCAAGAGAAACAAGAACAAGAACAAGAGATACGAAAAAATGCTGAAGAATTAATGGCAGCATCCAATAGTAAAGATTCTGAGACTATAGAAATCTTAGAAAATGGCACAAGCAATAAACTGATGAGTTCTGAAGAAATAATGCAGACAATTACAGTGACTGATTCAGTCATTTCAACTGTCTCACTCAAAGACTGGATGAATCTGGAGAATATAAAGTATTATTTGAAATTTTCCATGGCAATGTATGGTTGGCCCCTGTATATGCTTATGAATCTTAGCTGTGGTATCTGCCACTTGGTGCCCCATTGCAGGTAAATTGTTAACCAAATACAGACATTGACTTGATAGAAACTTTCAAATGGATTAGTGTTTGCATCGATATGCGAAAGTGTGCATGCATGGATGTAAGTATGTATGTGTGTGGCTGTGGCCGAGTGGTTAGAACATTCACTTTCTGACCATGACACTCTGGTTTGAATCTCACTACGGTTGATTTGTCAGGAAGGAGACTTCCTGATGTTATTGGTCTTCGATATTCTTGGATCATTTTGGTTTTATGAGATGACGCAGTCTTGTTGGTAGGTGTATGTTCTTCCTTTGGTCACACTTTCTATCAAAGATCTCATAACTCTTTCCAACACTTATAATCAGCAGCATTGACACTTAAGCCCTGAGAAAAGAAGTGAGGCATGACACCTCCCTTATTGCTCATGACTCCTAGAACCACCGCAGTTGATGGAAACTTTGTGTGCATGGCCATTGGAATGTCCTTAGGGTCTCTGCATAACAATCTGTTATTCTTTTGGTTGATCTTTTGGTCCTCTTATCAGAGAAAAACCAAAGCATTCTAGTTTCTTGGTGTTTCATCTTGCTCAACAAGCACATTATGTGGATCAGATGGTTATCTTTTGTCTTTGCAGACATGACTTCACCTCTCTCCGCGTCACATACCACTTGTATTGAAGGTCTGCATACATAATTCTTCCAATAGAGTGCCTTGAAAACTTGAGCTCCTTAGCAATGGCATTAATAGAATTTCTGGGGTTTTTATTGATAATTATCTGCACCCTTCTTACAAATTTTGGTGTTGTAATGGTATTAGAACCTGGAGCTTCAAGTTATTTGCAAACTTTGATAAGAAATGACTGCAATGTACCGTAAGCATGCAATCTCTAAATCACTATGCTCTGCTCTTAGAAAATGAAAATGCCAGCTGTAATCATTGCCTTGAGTTAGCTTGATATTTGCCATCATTTATATGAAAAGAAATGATAGAAAAAAATTAGGGCATCTTACCGGTTTCCATGAATTGATTCTTAAAATTATAAAAGCTGAGTGAATCGTTTGATTATCAAAAAAAAAAAAAATCTCTTATATGAATAGATGATGCTCTAGGTAAAATGTTATGTTATGCTCGTACCTAGTGAAGTTGTAATAGACATGCCTCCTACTGTTTTGGAGTTAAAGCTGTGGCGAATCTTATAGTTGTAAGTTTGATAAATCTTCCATTAAATCTTTGGTACTGCAGCGATTCAGTTTGATTGGGACTAAGAAACCATAACACAGCTGATGACACTAGAGTCAAAAAGCAGCGTGCTTCTGAATGTAAATATGATGAGAACAGCATTTTAATCTGGAAATATATTAATAAATAAATGCTTTCTACTAAATTATCAAAATGGGTTAATTATTTCATACTATAAAGTGATTTATTTCCATTCACAGATTGTAAAGAAAATAAGCAGAATAGGTTTTTAAAGATTATTTTCCTTTATAGAACCAGTTCCTGGAAATTTAGACTGCCACCTAATTAATATATATATTAGCTTGCCCTGGATTGGAACCAAGTGTGAAAGTATAGTTAGACAGATTTCATTTAATGTTCGTCTTTGTTTTTTCTCCGCTGAGGTTCGTATAGTTTTTCAAACTCGGCCTATGCTTTGTTCTGCGTGTAAGGATGTTCTCCCTCCTCATCAAATTAATTGTATTATTTATAAATACGTTTGTAGTTGCGGTGCTGACTACATAGGGAGGACGACTCAACGTCTAGACATGAGAATTAAACAACACATTCCTACTAAGATCAGGAATCACACCTTGCTGTTGAATTCACGTGTCCCAAATACCTACGGTTCTGCCATATGTGAGCACCTCTTAAATAGTAAAGGGTGTGCAGCTAACTTTAGTGTTGACTGGTTCACCGTGTTGTCCCAGTCACACTCTTTATTTCACCTCAGGGTTCTGGAGTCAATTTACATCAGATCCCGCAAGCCTTCCTTGTGTAAGGAGTGTTTGTTGGGGCTCACTGTCATTTGTCTCTAGCTCCTTGTGTTCATTTTTTTTTCTCCTCCATATTTCCTTTTCATTGTACATTTTCTGTGTTTTTAATTTAAATTAAATCTCCTGTGGAAGACTGAAGAGTGGGAGCGAAACCAGTTGCTTCGCCCGTTTTTAATATGTCTGGTAATATCAAGCTTCACACTTTTATTTCTGTGATTAAATTTTGTACCTACAAAAATATCTTTATATGGTCTGAAGATTGCATGAAACAGATTTGTCTTCTTTGAGACTATATCAGACTAGCATCTGTTTATGATAAAGATTTTATATGCATTATAGTTTCCATCTTTGTTACTTGTATGCAATTAGTATTTGATTAATAAAAAAGGTTGAAGATTTTTTAGCTAATATTTCAATGTTTATACCTCTTCTCTTTCTGTATTTTAACTTTTATCTTGTTTTTCTCTCTCCCTTCTTTCAGATGTTGTTCTTGCAATCATGTTCCCAAGGGAGATAACTGCTGCCAATGTAATATGGCTGCCTTTTACAAATTAACTGAAGACATTGATATAAAAATACTGCATGTTTCTTTCCAGAATGAAGTGAGTCAATTATTTTAATTTTATCATTTTGCTATTGTTATACTTGCATATATGGGGTTCAAATGCATACAGCCATGATCGTTGTTATTATTTTCTTTTACTGCTAAAGTTATCTGTCATGATTAAAGCAACAGAATGTGTTGGATTTACCAATTATATTTGGGTGTCTTCAGTAGTATCTGCCATTGGTAAAGATGTTCAGCTATTTGCTTAGAATAAAGATGGTTGGGGAGAAGTTGGAAGAATATAAATAAAGGTTTTTTTTTTTTGTTTTTTTTTTTTTTGTATAAAGAAAACAATGCTGTTTAACAGAAAACAATTTTATAACAAGAAATGTACAAATGTGGTTGGAGTAACAAATCAAATGTCCATGCCTGAAATGTACAATAGTCTCTTTTCAGGATGATGAAATATTTTGGTTGTGAAAGTTGTATTTTGAGAGACACATCCCTAGACTAATGAACTGCTCAAAAAGGGGAAGAACCTTGTGGCAAATGTCGGAAGAGAGTTTGGAGTTAGTTCAATAGTGTTGCCTCGCAGAAGTTGACTGAAAGATTTCCATGTCCTTTTTGACTTAGTCTTCCTACCAAAAGCAAGTTTTTATTAATGAACGACTTAAGATACCATAACTCGCTTAAGAAACGCAAAACGTAGAATGGGCTGGGAGAGAAACACACTCCTGTATTCAACAGATAGATAAAAATAATTGTTATTTCTCAGCATATTTGAACCTCTTGAGTTGTTTTATTATTTTTTTTTACTCACACTTGTGCGGTATCACCTTTACCCCGGATTCAGCTTGCACTACAGCCTGACGCCTGATTGATTTCGTCTACCTAAGATCAAAGTCACAACGTGGGTAGTTTAGACTTGAGATCAAAGTAGTTACTTTGGTAACCAGATGTTGGAAGTGAGCTGGGAACGACAAGTTGGTATTGAACCAAGAACGACCAGATTAACCGGGACACAAGCTGGTGGCAGCGACAATGAGTCAACCCCAAACACTGATGAAAGAAACCTTACAGCTTCGCGCCGCAACTGGGAGTTGACCATGAGCTGATAGTGCAGTGTCATATATTGATGTCGCGACCAGTGGACATCACATATTGGCGCTGGACTGCGACTGCGACCACCGGGTGGTGTCACATCCCTTTTGACACTCTGGCAGCATATAAAAGACCAAGTTATCAGTGAAGTTCTGTCATTGTAAGAGTTTGCCAGTCTGTTTTCTTGCATTTCCCATAATTGTTTGTTTATTATTTATATATATATTTTTTTTTACAATCATTTCAATAATTTCAGAGGTCAAAAAAAATCTAAAGCTTCTTGCTTTGTTTTCACTGTTAATGTCAGTTCTTGATTACCACTAAAAGCACAAGTTTTTGAAGACTCATTTGGAACACTGGACCACTTTTTCCAGATCTAGTTGAATAGCCATTTTTAGGAACTGAAACCTGGTCCTGATCTAAATCTATGCCATCCGCGATGTCATCATCTGACATCTTTAACATCATCAAGCTCACCATCTGATTGAATAGAATTATCACTATCATTGAAAGATTCATCTTTGAGCATCTGTATAAGATGATTGGTGGCTACTTGTGCAGAATATCTTTGGGTTGTAGCTTCCATTATTTAATGTTCAAAAAGAAATTAGTGAAATAAGTGAGAGTGGTATCAAAATTATTTTTCGGTATAAAAGAAAATAGTGTCTTCACTCTATAGGAAACTAAGATCCTTACTATCGGTAATATACACCTGGAAAAAAGTCAGTTAACACGTAGATGCAAAATAACTTAATCACCCAAACCGGGTCCTTGGGGACAAATCACTGGTGTGGACATAATTACATATATTTCAATATCAATTTTGTAATGTTTTAATAACTTGAAAAATAAAGTGGATAGATAATTTTTGAGGAATACCCAGAAAATGACCAAAAACTGTGTAAAATGTGAGACAAATAGTTTAGTTCATCTGTTTTGGGTCCTTGGGGACCCAGTATTGGTTAAAAAGCAATAATTAGAATTTTAATAAAACCATAAGATATGAAAGTGAATTTTTATATTTTTTATTCTTGAGAATTAACAAAATATTTGTATTAGCCAATTGATTTGAATTTTATAAAATGGTAAATAAGGATTTTATAGTTGGTTCATATTTTAATATAGTAAATGATTCTAAATTTATGAATAAAAATTTTCATATTTTTTTTTATATATAATTTGGTAAATGATAAATATTGCATTGTATTAGTTTTTAGAATTTTGTAAATATAAAATTATTGAATAAGTTACAAAAAAGCTACACATGCAAACATAAAGAGTAAGTTACAAGGAATGATGAAGAAAAATTAAAGACACTGAAATAAATAGTGTTTAATATTTTTGTTGTATATTTTCAAGAACAAAAAATGTATAAATTCACTTTCATCATATATTTAGGCTTTATTAAAATATTAATAATTGCTTTTCAAAACAATAACATTGCCTAGGAGTGAAGGTAATTAAAATAATAATAACGTGAAATAGAAAGTGGTCTTTTTGACATTCCCCTTTTTTGTGGGGGTTGGGGGCACAAAGGTTCAAGTCTGCCAAATTTTTAAATTGATTTGCTTTAAATTGATAACAATTTTTATTTTTTTTTAACATTGAATGCAGAAATATTTTTTTCCTCTCTTAGGTTTTCCAGAGTCCTTTTATTGTCTCGGTTGACCACAAAAATTCTGCAGTGGTTGTTTCCATTAGAGGTTCATTGTCACTGGAGGTAAGATGAAAACATTGTTCTTCTTTGCATATGAGAGGGTGTTGAAAAATTCTTCACTGAACCAACTTTCCAGAATTTGAGAAAACAGAATTACTTTTAGATTCCTTAGTCAGGCTGAGAACATGTTTACTGCTATCTCTAAAATATATAAGTACAAGTGGATGGTATCCCTGCAGTTTTCCTAAAGAAATGTGCTCCTGAACTGGCTGCAGGTTTCTCTAAACTCTACAACAAATGTTTTTCTGTTTCTTGCTTTCCAGCTTGTTGGGAATCCACTTTAGTTACTGTTTTTAATAAATCTAGTGAACTGTCAGATCCTTTGAAATATCATCTTATTAGTCTTTTTAGCTATTTTTGGTAAAGTATTAGAGGTGCTAATCAATTCCAAATTGGTTAAGCCTCTCATTTCACACAATCTCCTTTCAGATGAACAATATGGCTTTCCTTTTTTTAAGTCAATGACCAATGAGTCTGTCAAGCTTTAGATAATAATGGTGGAGCTTGGGCTGTAGCTTTAGATATCTTGAAAGTGTTTGATAGAGTTTGGCATGCAGGTCTTTTTCTATTTGATCAGAATCTTTAATAAATTGTGTTGAACTTCCACTTTTATAGATCCTTTCCCATTAATGTGGGTGTCCTCCAGGGCTCTATCCTTGGACTTATGTTGTTTCTCATCTTCATGATTTTTCATCAATTCCCAACTAGGTATTTATGCTTATAACATAACTATTTATACCTGAATTCTTTTTGAATCTCTTAAATAGAATTTTTTTTTTCAACAGTGTTGAAGCCTTAGAGAAGAAGTACCAAGTAAAATTCTTTATTGGGAAATCTGTTGTGAAATAATATTAAAATAAAACTCAGGATTACATAAATAATTTGGATGTACATCACTGTATTGCTTGAAGATGATAGAATAAGCAATAATTTAAAGGCAGGAATACAGGGCTTTTTTTGTTTTTTATTTAATTTTTAAAAAAAAATATTGAATCTTGTTTTTGGAGTTGAAATTTGAATAATCAGAATGATAATGTCAGGAATTGATTTTAAGCATTCTTCAACATTTATGGATTGGGGTGAATTAAGAAACTTTGGAAAAATTCTTTATTACCAGTAACGAAATTACTTTACTATGAAAGGGAGGTAATTCATTACAATTCAAAATGATCTTTTTTTATAGGATGAATTGCTGTTCATATTTTTTTTTCTTTTGGTTTTGATTCCTCTCTCACGCACACACACACACATATATACATATATAATATATATATATATATATATATATATATCTCACACACAGGTTTTCTGTCATTGTCTTGGTTGTTTTTGTTTAGCAGCATATTAATCTCTATGGGCTATTTAATGCTGAAATGTATATATTTTGTATGCAATGTTATTTTTCTTTGTGTGGTAGATGTAATAGAAGTGACAGTGACTTACCAGGAGCAAAGCGAATTCGCTGCCTCACGTGTCGAACCATTCTCTGAGAATCAGTCGCATGTGCGCCTACTGCCATTTTTATGCAGCAGACTTATTTGCATAAGAGAACCACGCTAACGATTAAAGACCCGGCGAGTGGACGTGGGAGGCGACTGCTCTTCTAGGCTTCGGCGAGACTAGACGGATTGCAGACAGAAAGCGACAGCAATTTCTGGACATATGACAAGCTATTTCGGCTAACATGGACGGCCAGTTTGATTTAAAAATTATTCCTGAGTTTGATGGGACTGGATCTGTGGTTGAATGGCTCGAGAAGTTGGAATTGGTGTGCGACCTATCGGGAGTGAAGCGGCTTAATCATGTCATCCCCCTTCGCTTAACCAGGGGAGCATTCGGGGTTTACCAGCAACTATCTATGGAAGAGAAATCGGACGTGGCTCGAATCAAGGGAGCATTGATGACAGCATTTGCCCCTGATAAATTCACGGCATACGAACAATTCGAGGCACGTGTATTGCGTCCGGGTGAGACCGTAGATGTATATTTGGCTGATCTATGGAAGCTCTCCATCCTTTCTGAAGAATTTTGAGATGATGGTTTTAGTGATGCATGTCTTACTAATTAAGCTAGGGGAGAAAACTGGATTCATACCTTCCAAAGGCTATTTGTGAATATAATGAACCCAACTGAAATTTGAACTCTGGTCACTGATTTTCAATTCTGGACTGTAGCTGTAATCCCTAACACCTCATGTACATCCAAGCTTACAGCACCTGGTATTCCCAAGTGCTTACACATCACCTGTTCAGAATCAGTGTTGCTTAACTTTGGTGATTGTAAGGGAACCAATGTTTCAATGTGATGTGGCTATAATCATTGTGTGTATGTTTATATAAAGCCTACACATACATGCAATATAAGGGGATGCTGACAAAAATTATCATCTTGATTAGATTCCGATTTTTGGTTATTTCTCGACAAATCTTGAAGGGTATTGAGCCAAGAAATTTTCAGCTCCCCAACCCACATATATATGCTCAGAGGGAAGCAATAGAAAGAAGTAGCATGCCCAATGGCTGTTTGGAAAAAAAATTAATGGTAAAATGAAATGCCTTAACAAAGTAGAGAAAATATTAAAATCATTTAGAATTTTTAAAATTTTAAATGTTTTGTTTAATGCAAACATCAGAATTGGTGGGGAAATGGCAACTTTCTTACTTATAATCACTGGTTAATTTGAAAATGTTTTGAAAAATTAATGGTTTAATAAAATTCAAAATGTCTGAACAAATCAATGAGATTTGTACACTGGAAAATGTTAAAATAACATGTAAAACAGTGATTAGATAAAGAAACTAAAAGTAAGTAAATTTGTCTCATAAACAATATTTGGCAGTCTCATTTGAGTCTAGATAAAAATAAGTCACAAAAAATCTGGATTTTAAACAAAAAATTAATGTATATATTAACAAAAAAAATTACATTGATGTGTACACAATTAGAAGTAAAGGAAAAGATATTAAAAACTTAGCTATTGTGTGTGTGTGTGTGTGTGTGCATGGATGAGAGTACAGTTGTCAGTGGACTTGTTCAAATAGCGACACTTTATTTCTATATAACAGTTTTCATGAGGAACAAGTAGAAATTATCCTGAATAAATTGTTGATAAAAATAACTTTAACACAAGAATAGGATCAATATGATTAAAAGTTTTTCACTTAGCTGATTGATGTTACCTTCAACATTCCGACTCCAGA